ACTGGGAAGGAGGCAGGAGGAATCTGAGCGGTTATGCTGCAGAGTCACCCAAGGAACGAGCAGAGGAAACCAGTGCAGGAGCTTTGCAGCAAGAGGGGTTTAGGTTAGCCATCAGGAGGGACTACCTGGGTGGTGGGACTCTGTAGTAGATTGAGGAGCTGGCGTGGGAAGGAAGGAAGCGTCTTTGGTAAGCAGAGAAGCTCTGGTTGAAGGCAAAGGGATGGAGGGGACATCTGGATGACACCCCTCCCCTTGAAGGATCAAGATGGCCCCCTCCAGGCTGCCATGGCAACCAGAGGCCTGTCACTTCGGTGGCCAGGGTGGGTGGGGGAGGGTGCAGATCTAAGAAGGGGCCTCAGACCTTGAGGTCAGGGGTGGGGAGGGGGCAGGTAGGGCACAGAATGGGAAAGGGAGGGGCACCCCCACAACTCTCCTGGGAGAGGGTGGTGCCCACAGGAACAGAGGCTTGGGGTCTCCTGAGGCTGCCCCCCAGCCCCCAACCCATGTGAAACGCTGTGTTTTTCCAGTTGCTGGTGGTGACGTTGCTGCCGGTCCCAGCTGGGCGAAGAGCAGCCTGTGATTTCACCCTGGGCTGGTTCATTACCTGACGTCTCCATAGCAACCAGCCTGTGACATCATGGGGCCAAAGTCCTCAGGGGGAGAAGGCAGCTTTGGCAGAGGCACCGGCACCCTAACTGAGGTGGAGGACAGGAAGGCTGGGGAGGGGCTGGGAGCCAGGAGTCCATATCCACCACCACCTCGACGAATGACCTTGTTCAAGTCACATCTCCTCCAGGCCTTTGACATCCCCTACCAGCTGCCCTTGCTCCCCTGCTCTGTGGTTGCAGAGGTTGAAAGCAGCTTCAGGCCATGACCAGAAGCCTAGAAATATTCTAGCACCCTTCAGAGTTCCCAGGGGCAGTCTGTAGCCAGCATCACCCTCTCTGCACCTTGTGGCCTCAGCTTGTACATGCTGGAACCTTATGAGTGTGGCTTGCAAACTTTTTTGACTAGAGCCAGAAGGCTAAATATATTTTACATCATGACCCAGTACACACATGTAGAAGATTCTTACTACGAGCGCAGTGTGTCTGTGCAATTTAAACAGAGGCTTCACCTGACTCTGCAGTGGGGTCTGACGTTTTCTGCTCCATTCACGTATGTTTCATTCTTTTAAGATATGACCTAGTAGGTTGCATGCAAGACCCACTGAAAGATGCACCCTTGGTTTGAACGCCACCTTTGAGGGGCCTGGAACATGGCCTTTGTACACATGAAAACTCTGAAGCCCAGAGAGGGGCAGGACTGGCTCAGGGGCACACAGCCAGGATGCGGGATGAAGCACAAGATGTGTTGCCTGCTGTGTTGTGCACGTGCAGGGCCCAGCCCCCACGATCCCGTGCTGCCCTTGCTGCTCTTAGCTCCTGGGTCACTGAGCTCTGAATTCAGGGGGTGGGGGCTTAATCCTGGCTCTGCCTCCCTTTTCTCCAGTCCCTGCTTCACAGTCTCACTTAAACCTCCCTGATTTGCTGGTGCAAAACAGCCTTCAGGCAAGTCCCAGAATTCTCTAGTCTCTTCCGGACACTAAGTCCAGTCCAATTTGGATAAAAACCTTCCACCCCACCCCCACCATCCCCACACCTACCTACATTGCCTCCCTCCAGACACTCCCTTCCCCTCCAGGCCAGCTCCCCCCATCAGCTCTCCTGAGCAGCAACCCCCCCTCCCCGACCCCTCCCAACCCCCAAACTCATTGAAACTCCTTTTGTGCTTTGGAAGAGAGTGCCTCGGTGTGTCAGAGCGACAGGGCTCAGATCCTGTCTGTTGGTCACTGGCTGTGTCCCTGGGGCTGGTGACATCCCCACCTGTGCCTCAGTCTCCCCACCTGTCAAGTTGAGCAGCAGATTCCTTCACCTCTCAGTCAAGGTGGGAAGGGAGAGTAGAGAGGAGAGCGCTCCTCTGGCGCTGCTGTTCCCCCAGGTCCTTGCATTCGAATGAGGGGCTTTGGGGCTGGTTTCCTGCATCAAACTGAACTCTCTCAGGGAAGGGACAGAGTTAATCCCACCTCTGACCCAGGTGTTTGCACAGTGTAGACTTGCAGTAGACGGACGCTCAGTGGCTGAAGGGATGAATGAATGAACTAATGAACGACCCCCCTCCAGATCTTCACGTACCGGGGCTTTTCTTGATACTCAGACCTCAGCTCTGAGACACCTCTCCAGTCCTCTCCAGCTCACGCTCTCCCTCAGTTTTTCCTTCACAGATTCATTGCCATCAAAGGCATCTCATTCACTTGTGGGTTTGTGGTTAATAGTCTGTCTCACCACTAGACTGTCAGCTCCATGAGGGCAGAAACCATCTCTGCCTTGTTCACCGCCGTGTCCTTGGGACAGAGAACAGTGCCTGGTGCATGTGGCTGCTCAGTGCTACTGTTCAGTGAATGGAAGAGGAGATAAATGCGTTCATCCAGTGACCGATAAGGGTGTTCCCTATCATCCTTTGTGAGTGGAGGAGGCCCCTCCGATTTGGCCCAAGGATTCAGGCCAGCAGTTCCAGTTGCTCGATTCAATGTGTTCAGTCCCTCAGCAACTACTGCGGACCTACTATGTTCTGTGGTGGGCCCCGAGGATGCGGCCGTGACAAGCTGATTGCTGCCCTCCCACACATAAATAGCTTTACCGGATATCCTGTGCTAAGTGCTGTAATAAAGGTAGAAATCATTCCACAAATGTTTATAGAGCACCTATTAAGTGCAGGCAGGGTTCTCGGCTCCGGACGCAGAGCATTGAGCAGGGCTGCCGTGGTCTCTGTCTTCATGGTGCTCAGGTTCATTAGGAGGAGAAGGACTGGGCACTTAAATAAACAAAAATAACAGAGAGTGATGACTGGGGAGTGGCTGTTGACCAGCGTAGGGGACAGAGAGGGCCGCACTGAGCAGGTGGCCGGGGAAGGCCTCTCTTGTGCTGAGTCCCAGATGATGAGGTTCAGGAGGATCTGGGTAAAGAGTGTTCCAGGCACAGGAGAAGGGACAGCGAGGACAAAGAACAAGTTCGGCCATTTGAGGAGCAGTAAGGAGGCCAGAGTGGCCAGAACAGTGAGCGAGGGGGAGGGAGGAGGACTGAGGTCGGGAGTGGGCAAGCTGGCGTGTAGGGCCCTGAAGACCATGGTGAGGGGCTGGTTCTTCTAAAGTGCGATGGAAGAAGTCAGGGGCAGGTTTTAAGCAAAGACAGTCCGACCTGGGCTGTGATGACTCTGTGCTTTGGGGTGGAGAGTGGACAGGGTGGGGGTGGCCAGAAGGGGAAACAGGAGGCTGCTGGCATCCAGGTGAGAGAGGGGGGCAGCGGTGGGGATGGAGAGGGATAAATCTGGAGCAGAGGTTGGAGTGAGAGAGCCAGTGGGACTTGCTGACTGATTGGATGGAGTTGGTTGGGGTGGCGGGGGGTCAGGGAAGGCAGGACTCCAAGAAAACATGTGGATTTTTTGTTGGTACTGCTGGGTGGACCATTGCATCATTTTCTAAAATTGGGAAAATGAAGGAAGATGGACTCAGGTTTGCAAGTCCTGTTTTGCCCAGATTTGCTTGAGATGCCTATTGGGCATCTACTTAGCGAGCTGGAAATTTGGGCAAGAGCCAAGCAGAGAGTTGAGGCTGGAGGTGTAAAAGTGGGTGTCAGCACATCCAGGTGAGATCTCCTGGGAGAGAGAGAAGGGAGGTGAGAAGGGGCCTGGGATAGAGCTGCGAGGCAGGCACCCCTGGGGCTGAGCAGGGAAGGAGGGAAGCCAGGGGAAAGGTGTGGCTGGAGAGGGAGGGTGACATCCATGTGCCTGCTGAGTGGCCACTGAAGATGGGGCTGGAGAGGCCACCGCTGAGCTTGGCCCCGTGCAGGCTTCTGGCCACTCGCCATGGACTGTCTCGTGAAAGGCTGCGTGTTGGAATGGATGGAGGAGAAAATGGGAGATGGGGAAGTAGAGGTCAGACACAATTTGAAGTCTGGCCACAAAGGGGACAGAGGAGTGAGCAAAGAGCTGGAGGGAAGCAGGGGTCAGGAGAAGGTCTTTAAAGGGTGGGAGATGCTTGAGCTGCCAGGGGGCTGGGGGCTGGCCCACTGGTAAGGGACTCAGTGAGACAGGAAGCGGCAGGGCAGGGGTGAATGCTGGCAAGAGTCCCTGAGCCAAGAGGCCTTCAGCATCTGCCACACTGATGGGACGTTGGTGGGGAGGGAAACCCAACACGGGAGAGAGAGTGCACAGAGCAGAGCCCCGCCCTGGGTGCAGGGCAGGCATGGGACCCAGACCCCGGGTGGTGGTGGAGGGACTTGTCTTGCACCGACAGGGGACAATTCTTCCTTTGTCATGAGAGGGAAAGCAGTGTGGCCTGCAGTCAGGACGATGACCTAAGGTGGGGAGAATGGGGTGATGCCTTCCCAAGGCTCCTGGGTGGCACTGAGAGTGGAGAGAAGCCAGCAGGAGGGTGCGGGGAGCAGCAGGGGTGCCAGTGTCGGAGGTTTGAGAAGGAAAGAGAGTGAGGTAGTCAACCTGGCTGGAAGCAAACTAGCAGGAATCTAAGAGACGTAGACGGATCCCTGGGTAGCGTCCTCTGTGAGGCTGATGGGCACCGCTTTTACCTGAAGCCGGTGACTTTCCCCAGGGACAGGCAGCTCTGAAGGTTCAGGCAGGAGACAGGCAGAGGGTTAGACTAAACAGGGTTAAGAGAGTCAGGGGCATCTGCAAAGGAGAGCTCAGAGGGTACGCCAGGGGTCTTAGCTGGGCCAGGAGGGAAGTGGAAGCTGGTGGAAGGTGGCAGAATAAATGAATTGGAGCTCTCCATGCGGTCAAAACGTGGCTGGAATGTGTGTACGAGAGTTAGTGGAAGTGGAGTAAAAGGAAATTGGGCAAGTGATTCCTACGGAGGGGACCAGGCAGGAGGGGATCTGGCCGGGCTCCCAGCTGTTGTGGGCTTGAGTGTTTTCAGCAGAATGATGTGAATAATAGTGAAGTAATGCCCATCTCTCAGGATGGGCCTGAACCAGCCTGACAGCGGGAGAGCGCCGGGCTTTGCTAAGTTCCTCCTGCCTTTCTTACCTCCAGATCTGTTCACAACTGCCCACAAGGACTGCCCCCTGCCCCAGGGCACGGCCCCCCTGAACCCAGACTTGCGCTCCAGCCGCCCACCCATCGCGGCTCCAGACCACGTCACTGGCAAGGTAACCGGTATCACTCCACCCCCACCCGCACCCACACCTGGTTCCTGAGTGGTGCCCTACAGCTCCCCACAGGGAGCAAAAACCATCCCAGACTCCTCTCTCCCTGCCAGACGTGGCTACTTCCTGTGCGATCAGGACCCCTAAGGGTTGGTATTCAGCTGATGAAGGTCTTCCCACCCCAGTTAACTCAGCCTTGCAGTTAAAAGTTCTGTTACCAGCCCAGGACTCCTTAGCAGCCCGCACTGCCTGCTGGAGAGTAAAGGAAGGGAATTCTCAGTCCAGAAAGATCAGGAAGATCTTGCTAGAGGGCCTCAAATCCTGGTGCATAATTTCCACCCTTGCCCCAGAGGCTGTGGCTTGAACCTGCCAGCTGATATAATTACCTTTTTCTTCCCCACGTACCATTGTGCTAGGCTCTTTGTCGACATTACATCATTTATGCTTCAGCACAACCCGTGAGGTAAATGGCATTGTCACCATTTTACAGAAAATGAAATTGGTGTTCTGAGATGTTAAGTCACTAGTTTAAGGATATCCAGTCAAAACTTGAACCCAAATCTGCTCGATCCCAGCACCCACTGCCTCTCCCGGCCCCCTCACCCTGCCCACTTCTCTCTCTGCATGCCAAGGGACACCAGGGCATGGCCCATGAGTGGGCAGACCCTGACCTCAGGGAGCACCAGAAGGCTGACCCGCACCACCACCCAGGGCGCTGGGACTTGTGCCATCTGCTGGCGCAGTGTGCCAGGCCCGGCCTGTTCCTCTTTCTCCTCTTGTTTTAGGACAAACAGATGGATTTCTGTTGGGATCCTTGGCAGGTCAGTGCACTTGTCCACTGCCCAGTCCAGCCAGCCACAGCTGATACCATCGCCTCTCCCTGTGCCGGGCCCCTCCAGGGCACATGGTGCCACCAGCCCTGGGGGAAGAGTGAAGAGGCCTGATGAAGACCGGGGTGGGGATGGTCCCGTGGGGGTGGCAGGATCACTCTGGCCCAGCCCAGAGGACCTGGGGAGGGTGGGTCCTGGGGATGGGAGGGGTGGGGGGACATCACCTTGCAGATCTGCCCCTCCCTGCTCATCCCCCTCCCCTCCTACAGAGGTGCTTCCAGACCACCAACGGCTACCTGTCCGACTCCAGATCCTGCTCCAGCAACTACAACGTGGCAGCCCTGGCCACCTCGTCCCTTGTGGGTGAGCTCCAGCCACCCTCTCCTGCCCTTGGGGTTCGCACAGACACTAGCTGTAGGAAGGTTAAAGCTGAACTGCAGCTGGAAGGATTGAGGCCCTGTTGGAATCAGCGTTTTCTAAACGCCAGGCTCTGCAGGACTTAGGGTTCCTGCCCCCATGGGTTAAATTATTGGGCTCTCAAGAGTTCTGAGGGGATGGCCCCGATTTTCCGGGTGTCTGCCCAACGTGGTCCCCAGCCTCTCTGAGCAGATGGAATCTGCCAGTCAGGCCACCTTGGCACCCTGGAAGCAGAGCCGAGGTGAGAACTGTCATGCTAATGATTTACTGAGGGATTATTCTCAAAGGAAACCTGTAGGGAGTGAGGCCGCAGGAGGGGTCCGGGAGGGAGCTCAGCGAAGCTGTGGTTGCAGAAGCATCCTCTTTCCCCGCCTGATCCCACTGGAGCTCAGGAGCATGACTCGCACCACGGAACTCATGGCACTTTGACGCCAGGTGGCTGACTTTATATTACTCCTCCATCATCCATCACTGGCTGCCCCTAGGGAGTACTTTCCCACCTCCCAGGCATCTCTGGGTGAGGCAGCTCCTCTCAGCTAAGGTCATGGCTCCCAAAAAGGGTGCAGGTGTGAGCCAGAAGCAGCAGTGGCGGCACCTACAGCAGTGGGGGGCTGGGCACACAGGCCAGCCAAGGGGTCTCCCTGGGCCACCACAGCATCTACCCTCACACACAGCCCAGGCCATTCTCAGCCAGCGTCAGGCTCCCATTTCTTAAACCCCTTGCAGCGCCCCAGAAGGCCCTTGCTGCCCGTCCCCCACCACCACCATGTTTGCCCCTGCTGTTTCCTCCACCTGAAACCACTTCCCTCTACCTCACCTGCCCCTCAGAAGCCCCTGAACCACCTCACCTGCCCCTCAGAAGCCCCTGAACCACCGCCTCCAGAAACCTTCTCTGGTTGCTAGCACTCCCCAGCTTTGGGGGTTCTCCCCTTTCTTCCTCACCTCCACCTTTCCCATTTTCTGAGTTTCATGTCTCAGTCTCCTTTGTGGATGCCCATCTTTCTTCAATATTGCCATTCCTCACATCATGGCTTCTGGGACCAGTGATTCCCAGATCTGTGTTCTCAGCCCGCGTTAAAGGAGATGCTGTCTGTCAGCTTCCACATCCAACTGGCCTTCTTCTAAGAACCCCTCCAGGCCCTCCTCCCTATCTGCCCAGCCCTTGTAACTGTCTCTTGCTGGATCCCTTCAAGGGCCCCTAATGTCCCCTTGTCTCCACGCTTGTCCCCTACTCCCCTAATGAGGGAGTTCTCCCTAGATAACAGATCTGACTTGTTGCTCTCCTGCTCATTACCCTGCTGTAGCTCCCCATGGCTATAAGGAGAATGATGGTGCCCTCAGCCTGGCTCTCCCAGCCCCCAGTCTGGCCTTTGTTGGGCTTCCCAGCCTTTTCTGCCAGTCTAGTCCTGGTGTTGCCCCCATATCTTGCCCCTGGTAGTACTAGAACCATGCCAGACTTTTCCATGCCTTCATCTTCTTCTCATCTCTGAAATAGTCCTCAAGTCTTGCCTCCATTTGTCCAACCCAACCTGCCCTCAAAGCCTGACTCCAGTCCACCTCTTCCAGGAAGCCCTCCCTGCTTGCTGCACACCTCCCTTCACCACCACAGGTCTTACCATCAGGAGAGCTGGCACTGTTCTAGGCACAGAGGATGCACTCTCAGAATTTGTTAACTAGTGGATAAAGGGGCAGTCTGGGTGAATATCGAATGTATCTTTGAGTGGGTCCCCTTGGGCGGAAGAGTCTGAACTTGGTCAGAAAGGGAATGGGGGTGTGACAGGTCTGGAGAAGCATTAGGTGGGCAGGAACACTGGCTGGGAACAGGACACTGGGAGGGCTAGGGGCCTGCAGGTGGGTAGGGGGCAAATACGTGAGTGGGGCTCAGGGTATGGGAGGGCGTGGGGCAGGCAGGGAGTGGGCACGAGGTGTTGACTGGGCATGAGGAACTGGCTGGGTGAGGCACTGTGGGTGTGGGGCTGTGAGAACATGGGGCGTTGGGTGAGTATGGGACACTGGATGGATCTGGGGTATAGGCCATCGGATGGGCCTGAGGTGTTGAGGGGCCTGGGGCACTGGGGATGGGGCCCTGAGCTGGGCCTTGGGTCAAGGCTGTCACACAACTGCCCTTCATGCCCCCAGGAGTGGTGCAGAGCATCAAGGACCACATCACAAAGCCCACGGCCATGGCACGTGGCCGCGTGGCCCACCTCATCGAGTGGAAGGGCTGGAGTGCCCAGCGCTCAGGCTGGGAGCTGTCCCCGGCTGAGGACGAGCATTACTGCTGCCTCCCAGATGAGCTGCGTGAAGCCCGCTTTGCCGCAGGTCAGCGTGGGGAGGAAGAGCTTGGGGACAGGACTGGCCAGGGCTCTGGTCCTTAGGGGACCCTCGGTCACTACCTGGGCATTGTCTGGGCAGGGAAAAATAATGCCACGGGGTGGACAGGGCATTGGTGGGCACCCTGATCACCCGGGCATGAGAGGCAACGTCTGGTGCCAGCCTGTCCTGGCACCTGTGGCCACCCCCACCCTCTGCCCCTGCCCCCGCTGAGCGGGCTCTGTCCCCACCAGGGGTTGCCGAGCAGTTTGCCATCACAGAGGCCACACTGAGCGCCTGGTCCTCACTGGATGATGAGGAGCTGCACCCAGAGGACAACCCCCAGGACATCATCCAGCTACAGGGTACAGCCCGGGTGGGGCACCGGGGTCGGGTGGGTGCCGCAGGGCCAGAGCTGCAGGCTGGCTCGGCCAGCAAATGCCCTGTGACCTCAGACAAGCCCCTCCATCCCTCAGCTTTAGTTTCTTCATCTGGTGATTCTTGCTCTGCCCATTGCCTGGGGAACACCGTGAGCATAAAGGAGAGATGATGATGATGCCAGATGGATGTGTAGGTAGATAGAAAGGAAGGAAACATGAATGAAGTGCTTGCGTGCCAAGCACTTTACTTGTCTCATCTCACTTTCTCCTCGGGACAGCTCTAGGAAGTAGGCCCTGTTATTACCTCCATTTTACAAGTAAGGGAAACTGAGGCATCAAGAAACTCGCCTCAGATTACACAGTGAGAGGCATCAGAGTTAGGATCTGAACCTTAACACCAAGCACAGTCAATCAGCTTGCTAGAAACCAGTTTACTGCTGAGGGCTTCAAGGAGCCTGGGTCCTGGGTGCAGCCTGCATCACCTTAATCCTCCCTCTGACAGTGAGGGAAGAGAAGGGGTCAGAGGTCTGGAAGAGCACTTGTCGTAAATGTCAGAGCCCAGAAGGATCTGAGGTGAGTCAGGCTGGCTTCCAGAACCTGCTCTTAACTATTCTGTGTGCTACTGCCACCACCCACCCCATCACCCCCAGGGAGAAACTAAGGCTCAGAGAGGTTCAGTGTCTTGCCCAAGGTCACACAGCTTGGCTGTGGCAAAGCAAGGTTTGGAGGCAGGTCTCCTGCCCCTCGCACTCCCTCACACACCAGGAGAGGACAAGGAGCAGGGTCTTCTGAGCTCCATTCCTCACCTCCACCCCCTGTTGCTTTTCCAGACCTGGAGAGCATCTACCTTCAGGACAGCCTTCTGAGTGTCCCCTCTCAGGATGACAGTCTTCTGGCCTTCTCCTCCCCCGGCCTCTCCCCCGATGGCTGGCCCTCACCTGAAGAGCCCCCCTTCACAGCTGCTGGCTCACAGCCCCCCAGTCCCGAGCAGCAGCATCGGCAGCGGCTGCCGGGGGCCCCAGGGCCGGAAGCTGGGGCCCGCCTGCAGGGCTCCCTCCCCTCGGTGGACAGCGGCTCCCTCTCGGAGGAGGAGGAGGATGAGGTGTTCTATAACTGAGGCGGAGGGGGTCCTGGAGCCTGCTCACACCGTGACCTTGCCTGGTGGGTAGCCCAGGAGTATCAGGACACCAGAGTCTGGGCTGGGCATCTCTTGACCCCTCAGGGCTGGCACAGGTGGGTGCGGCAGGGATGGGGCCAGCACTCCTGGCAGACCACTGTGTGCTTCCGTGGACCTGCCCCCAGCAGTGGAAGCCGTAGTCCGCTTCTCTCTCTTGGCTCAGGCCGGCACCTTCCCCTGCAGCGTTTCTGCCATCAGTGAGCTCGAGGACTCTCAGCAGACACTGGGGCAAGCCGCCCAGGCAGACAGCCACGGAAAGGCCTAGGAGACCCACTAGGGGAAGGGTCTGGGAACCCTGCCTGGACTCCAGGGCTCAGTCCCTCCCCGTCTCCCTCTGTGCTTCTGTCCCCCATCAGAGGTGGAGAGGCCCCTTCTGGTAGCTAACATCTGTTCCTTAGCTCTCTTCATGAGGATTCTTTCTCTGTCTGTTGGCCCCTCACTGTCTGAATCTGCTCCCTGGTGCCCTGCTCCCCCTCCTTGCACCCTCCTCCCATCTCCCTGAAGGTTCTCTGAAGACATTAAAGCGGTGGATTCACCCTGGATGAACTTGGCCTGGTCTCTGCTGGGGACAGCGTGTCCTCGGGCCCCTGGTGGGAGGAGCTCTAGAAGGACTTTGGCGAGAGCCCCTTTCCCCTAGTACACAGACAGCTGGTCAACCTGCTGCTAGCAGCCAGGAGAGTCCCCATGGAGGATGCCCAAGGAACCATACCTGGGGACTCTGGTTTGTCAACCCTGGCTCAGCCAAGGAGGAGGCTGAGGCTGGAGTGAAGGTAACTGGACCACAGGGTCCTGCTTATACATGAGGACGAGCATCACACAACCTGGGGGGATCCCACTCTACCCCCTATCTCCCTGCCAGGAAGCAGGGCATAAGGAGTGGGAGACCAGGGGCCTAGGTATGCAATGCTCCAATGACCATTAGGGGGCGCCAAGAGCTTGCTCAGGGCTGGCTCAGGTAAGGAGTTAAGGTCAACACCTTTGAAGCTGAGGTAAGGGACAGACTGCAGCTCTGTGAATCAGCTTTATTTTTTCTTGGGAACCTCTGGTTGGGAGTCATGCAGCCCCCAGAGTGCATCTGTGCCTGCCCTTGATAACAGCATATTCTAAGCTCTTCATTTGTGAATTTGATGCCTTCATTGAGAACCCACCATATGCTGGTTTTCTGCTATCTTGCATTCTGAGCTTTGTCCAGGGTGGAATTTGTTCTTCAAGGCATGTAGCCCTTGTCCCACCAAAGAAGGGACATGGTGACTGTGGGGCCCTCTTCAGTGTTAGGTTAGCTGCCTGCTTTGCCAAGGAGTTGAGCTGGGCTGGAGGGGAGGGGTGTGTTGTGATAAGAGACAGAAGCAGGGTCTTTGCCCAGTTTCCTTCACCAGGGCAGCTGAGGGGCCCTTTGTTTCATCTTGCCAGGCTGGCTCACTTTGGGGCCGGAGGGTTTGTCAGATTGGAAATTGCTTTCTTCAACTAGAACAGAGAACAGAGGAGTAAGGATGTAGAGGAGATTGAAAGTAGGGGCCCCAACACACTTTGAGTCTCCTAAGGGTTGATTCTGGAGTGAATTTTAGAACTGGTGTCTCCCTATTGCACAGATGGGACCATTGAGGCCCAGAGAATGGCAAGGCTAGCCACTGGCCACAAAATAAGGTAGGGGTACCTGAGCCAAGAGGCTGGCCACTCTGGGCCAGGAAGTAAGTTTCATCCAGAATCCCATAAGGCCCCTCCAAATTTGGATGGGAAGATATTGGTGCCCCCCACCTCCCCAGACTGCTCAAGCATGGCTCCTCCCCTTGGCTCCTCCCCTTTGCTCCACCCTCTGGACCCTGGTACCTCCACCCAAGACACGAAGCCCACAGCTCTGCCCCGAGACGTCACGAAGAGGGACTGAAGTTTCAACAGCTGGAAGAGGTTATGTGCCTGCAGGAGGAGTTGTTAGGAAACACTAGAGGACAGGTGCTGCCCACCCTACTCCTCCGGCTTCAGTTTCTCCCTAGCCCAGGAGCTTGATCAGAGGTGAAGGCCCTGGCCAGGCTCTGTCCCAAGGGTGCCCACTCGCCTTATTTCTGTGCCTGGGAGGAGGGCTGGAAGGCTCGGATGGTGGGGGGAGACCAAGACCTGGGCCTGCAATGTCCAATGTGACCACCAGGGGTCACCAGAGTCCACATAAGGGACTAGTAGAAAGGACTTGTTATTCAGCATCATCTACCTGCACAGAGGGGTTGGGGCCACCCCTAGGTCCCCAACCTGCTTCTGTCCCTCCATGACCCCATGCACCAGGCTCTGTGCTTGCAGAGAGGGAGGGGATCAGCATTCAGAGCGATTAATTTGCCCAAGATCACACAGGGAGAATGTGTTGAACTTGAAACTGAAACCCATGTGTGCTTTCATCCAGAGAAATACTTTTAACCACTGTCTCTCTCCACCCAGAGTCTTCTGTTCCCCAGGCTCTCCCTCTTCGCTAGTCTCTGCATCATCCCAACAACTCTGGGATTGAAGGACAGAGGACAGGAACCGCTCTGCCCGTCCTGCAGATGAGGAAGCGGGCACAGAAGGAACAAAGAGCCACACAGCGTGTCAAGGAAGCTGGAGCCAAGTCTCCCTCTCAGGCTGTTCTCCTCTATCCCAGAGTCCCTGTCTGCCCACAGCCCAGATTTCCCCCAGTACCTGGCGCAGGGAGGTCTCTGGGGACAGCTTCAGGATCACTGGCTCTATGGGGCAGCCCCCAGCCAAGATGTTCTGGAGACACTGCTGGGGAAGGAGGGAGGGTTACGGGGGCCTGGACCAGCCTCCCCTTCCCAGGACTGCCCCTCTCAAACCAAGTCCCCTACAGGCGACCAGCTGGTCACTCCCTTCACAACCCAGCTCACTGACTCCCCAGCCCCTCCTGACACCCCATATGAGAACTCACCTGGTGTCCTGGAGCCCAGGATGGTGGCTCAGCCTGGAGTGCCTGCACCAAGTGTGCCCTTCGCACGGTGCCCACCAGGATCTGAGACTCTGGACAGGCGGAGAGAGAGAGGGAGAGAGCCACATTATGAGAAAGGAACTTATGTTTACTGGGCAGCTGTAATGTGTCAAGAACTGTTCTGGGCATTCTCATGACTCTCAGGGACCTACAGCAGCCTATGGGTCAGAAACTATTATCACTCATTTTACAGAAGAGGAAACCGAGGCTCAGAGACACAGAGAGGTTAATTGTCTTGCCCAGGGTCATTCAGCTTCTGACATGGAGGAGTGGTGGCTGAGGGCGGCTGGATAAAGCTGCCAGGGGACTGGGAGGTAACCTGCCCACCCTGAGATGCCCCATATGGTGGGGCCACAAGGCAGGAGCAGGTCTGGGACACCTGCATGAAGACGTCTGTGCATCAGGACTGGGCTTTGTCCCTCATTTCCCGCATGACGTTTCACATCTGGCTTAGCCCAGTGAAGGCATAAACCTGGAAGGCCACCATGTTCTGAGGTCCTACTGTGTGCTTGGGGCTTGGCAAGCCTCACTCCAGGGTATCACTGGAGAGTCTGCAGGTATTTGGTTTTGGGGGACAGCCTGATATTTTTGCTTCTTGTCCAGTAAACTAAAAACTTTACAACTGGACATACAAATGCTCCCCCCTTAAAAGTAAAGACAAAACACAATTAAAACTATTCTTAAAAAAAAACAACAACAAACAATTTCTTGAGTGAGCAGCAGGGTCCCACAGACTGGGCCTTTGCTGGTTGGGAGCTCTTTGCTTCTTGTGGCCCTAAGGGTAGAAGCAGACTTTGTTCAGGAAGTGAGGCTTCTTGAGGGGTCATGCACATGCAAATATTTTCAGATGGAATATTTGGCATGTCCTAAGGGATAATGTCATAAGTGTTCCAATTTGGGTGGGGAGAAGGGCCTGGCATCGGGAATGAGAACCTCTGATAATTCCATACTCCCTATTTTCCAGATGAGGCAACTGCAGTTCATAGAGCTTAAGGGGTTTATCTAAGGTTCTGCTGCTCATAAATGGCTTTATGCCTCTTGGGGTAGGTATGGGGATGACCTGTACGGTTGTGCGGGTTGCTCACTACACAAGCTACCTGCCCAAAGGCAAGTGGGGACCAAAATCCAGCTGGGCTATGCTTGCCAAGTGTGCATCTTGTTTCATTTGCACAAAAGGGACATATGGGCTGACAGTGGCCATACATGGGCATGGCTACCTCCTCCCCTCCCCCCAGTTTATCTTTCCCACCCATACTGTACTTGTCCTAGAGGGAAATAATGCTCTAGCTAGACCCTCCCCCAAGATTCAGCTTATATGTCTTTTAACAAGGGCCCCCATTCACTTTTCTCTAAAAAGATGTTTTTCTTATGGCAACAGGGATTGAGGGAGGTGACTCAGCTGGAGAATGCTTGAAGGGGAGACTAAAGGAAGGAGCTTTCTGGGAGATCCTAGTAGTGTTTCCATCATCCTACCCCCACTCCCCAAGCACACCAGGCCTGGTTTCTAGAATCCCAAGAGCTTTTCGTGGAGTGCCTTATAAGCCTCCTCTAATCGCTCATTTAAACATGTCAAGCACCCCAGGGTAGGGTGGTTATTATCTCCATTTTACCAAAGAGGAAACTAAGGCTCAGAGAGGTGATGTGACTTGCCCAAGGTCACACAGCTGCAGAGCCTGGATTCAGATTCAAGTGCCTGGCAGGTCCAATGCCCTTCTTACCCTTTCCTGGGCCTGACCCTCCCAGGTCCAAGAAGAAGGTCTAGGGAACACCCCCCTCCCCACTCATGCTCCACTGCTTCCTTCTGAGCACCTGTGCTCTCCACCAGCGGGTACTCGGCTGTGTCTGTGGCGGTCACGACCTTGACCACCTCCTCCAGCGGTGTGTCCTTGGCCAGCGTGGTGATGGTACAGTTCATGAAGTGCTCCACAGTTACACGGTGAGAGCTGGGGGCAGAGGGGTGCTCCCATCAGGTCCTGGAGTGGGGGGTTATCCAGGTCCCAGGATGAGGCAGGGGTACCTGGGGGGAGCTTTGCTGGTTCTCCAGCATGGGCGGGGACTAAGAGATTCCTGGGATGAACAGCTCCTAGCACCCCAAGGTGGGGAGAGACCTGGAGACCAGCTCACCTATGGCCTGTCTCTGGATTCCTAGCCCTGGACCCCTATCTCCCCCTAGACCAGCTCCACCTTGGTCTGTTTTATCAGAATCTGTCTCTCTGGAGAATTTCATTTGAAGAAAAGTTTTATGGCAAAAAGGAAAAAAAGACCAACTTGAAAGTTTAAAAGTTACTGGAGTAACCACCCCCGTTTCACAGATGAGGGAATGAGTCTGGAGAAGGCTGCAGCTGTCACATGTCTAAAGCGGGCCTTAGAGCAGAGGTCTCAGTGCCTCTTAGCCCCACTTCTTAGGAACAGAGGCTGCTTGGCCCTGCCTTGTCGAGTGAAGACCTCAAACCTCATCTCCATTCTAGTATTCTAGTCCCACCTCCAGCTCCCAATGCCCCAGCGAGGACAACAGAGCAGGAATGGGGGGAGGAGTGGGGACCTCCCAGAGCTGGTGCTGACTCTCTGTGTGACCTGAAG